AATTCAAGGAAACTAAATGCATTTTGCCCGAATCCTGGACTATTTTTCCTTTGGTTATTTTCTTTCTTCCGCCTGCCCTTCCCTTTCACCCATGCTACCCCTTCACTGGTAGGTCCAGCACGTGTAATCGTGTATGTATCATAATGGGTAAGCAATGAAGTACTTGACAACACACTTATGCCAACCACAATACAATCAACAGGTGAAGAGAGATTGACAGCAATGAAATGCTATGTACAAAGTTCAAATACACACCAAGTAAGCATATTATAATTTCCTTCTCCTTTCAAATATGGGTCGCATTTCTCCACAAGACATTAAGCAAACCAGTGCAACAGAGAGAGATAGCAGACTGAACTATAAAAGTCAGAAAGATTATTTCCCTAACAAGTCATATGAATTACCTGAGGAACTAATGAGTGGCCACCTGAAAAGAAAAGGTCCCATAACAGCAACAGAAATGGACAGGAGTACCACAACCTTGCTATACCAAAACAGAAATGAAAAATAATTCTTCAGATAAAGGATTCAACTAATTAAGTGCAATGGCAATGAAACAATAGTTGAAAATACAAAAGTGAAATTTGCACTAAATAAGACTAAAACATAAGTCATTTCCCAATGTAGGACTTAAACTTTTTTATTCTCTAAATAGTACTTAATAATGTCTAGTGGGAGAAATAATGTTCAGTGATGATGGACATTTACTTGAATAATGACTAATGAATAATGACCAATGGTCCTACATTGGGAAATAAAAACATATGGTCCTATATTTAGAAAGTCATTATGTTTTAGTCCTATTTAGGTAAATTACCCAATACAAAATAGATAAATTTCTTGATAACCAATACTCCCTAAGACCTAAATAAACTTCACCATTACTATTTACTTGTCAGACTAAATCATTTGTTACAATAAAATATCCATGTCACATCTTGTTCTATAGAAGTTTTGATCTAGTTTTATATATATATATATATATATATATATATATATAATACCAATATGCAAATAACTTTAATCAAAGTGACTTCAATCAAGCATCGTAAACCAAAATGTTTTATTTAGGGATGGAGGGAGTAAAAAATTCTGCATCAGCTCTCTTTTAGATGTTTCAAAGAATTTTTTTGTTTACTAATAACTGCCACTTTAGAACTCCAAGAGAGTAGCAATAATGGATCAATTTCCATCATTACCCCATTTACGTCCTACATACTTTTAAAAATGTTAATAGTTATTCTAGTCTTATTAATCTCAAAAAAATCTCTTAGGCATTCTATAATTAATTATTCTTGTAACTAGCTTGGGGCATATAATTTGTACGCTTTGCTTGAGGGAGAATGTGAGAATCACTTTTGGTTTTTTAGCCTGACATAGTGACACGAATAAGTATAGGGCTTTGTACAAACTAATTCATAGCAAGAATCATTCCTTTCTTAATTGTTTCACACAACTCACATGGAACATTAAATCATTTGGTCTTTCACTTATAACAGAAAAATCACAAATCTCATGGAATTTTATATATAAGAAAAGGTAAAGGAGCGTACCCTCACTATCAACATACCATCCAAGTTCCTTGCTCCCCCCGGAATGCTATCCCCAATGCTTTTTTCTAAAGGTTTGACCAGTCAAGTGCTCAACTGTGATTGTTGAGCTACCTTTTAAAACTTCACAATCCACAGGGACAGACTGATTAAAGAAATAGTAAAACCTAGTATTATAATAAATTTAAATTCAATGAACAACACATAACAACCATCATTAATGAATTAAGCTAGTAAGTGGAGAAACCATTAACATACAGCAGCACACACAATAACACAATTTAATATGATGTAATAGCTATAGAGGTGCAATGTACATACCTCGCCCGCTTTGACAAATATTAATGAGCCAACTTTCAAGTAGCTAACAGGAACTTCACAATATGTCAAGTGTGAGAAACTTGGTAAGCTTCCACTATTTGTATCAAGCAAAAGAGCAAATTCTGGATGATTTTCTCTCAATTCCTTTACGTCAATCTTGGAGCGACGAGTGAAGGCCTCCTTAGCTATGTGGTTAAATGGTTATTTGGTAAAGAATTCAAATCTCTTGGCAGAGATCAACAGCCAAGTAAGCACATAATAATACACATACCTATATGCGACAAATTAAACATCGCTAAAAGCAAGCCACCTTCCAATGGGTTGCAAAGGCTGCAAGAGCCATTAGCACATGGATATTAATTTTTCCACCACTAATGTCCATTAGGGCATCAAGTGAAGCTGAAATCTGACATGAATTATGACATACAAATTCAGAACATAACCAAATATACAAAATATTGAATAATACACAAACAACACAAGATACCCCTATAAGGAGTTCCCAGGAACACATAGCATTGTTCTTTGGACACTGGTCATATATCACTTCATAAACATCCACAATATCTTTATATGTTCGCTCCACCCAGTGGGTTTAGCAGAACATTAACATTTTCAATAATGATATGATGGGAATCCATTGCAACCTAGTCTATGCATTGGAGACTACTCATAAAAAGCATAATAATCACTCTGTTTAGGATCGCATGATCATACAAACTAATGCACGCAATTAGTTGTTCTTAAACGGAAATTTAATTAGAAACAATTGTGTAAGCTAGGTGAATGGACATTGGAAATACCCCGACAAGAGGAAAGGCAATGGCAGCTAAAGCATGTTGGAAAGGCTTTGCGGCGGGTTTAGGAATCACATAGGGGCAAGCGGATGCAGCAATAAACAAAGCGGCTGAGAAACAACAGAGTTCCAAATTTTCCCGCAGGAAATTGGACAAGTGGGTCCACCTAATCATCTCCGCAAACTTGAGAAGAAATTCCTGGGGTTTAGTTAGTTGCAGATTGCATTCATTGGGACCATGGTGGTGGTGGTGGTGGTGGTGGTTGTCATGATAATCACGTTCGCCATTCTGCTGCTGCTGGCCGTGGCCGAGGTCGTGATGGTGGTGGCTGTGGGCCGAGCAGGAGGTGGGGTAGCGGCGGAGATGGTGGAGAGTATGTAATACTAAAGGTGCGACAGTGCACGGGAGGGAGCGGAAGAATCGGGTTTACTCTGGACCGAATCGGGTATGGGGCTCGGGTTCTGTGAGGGGATAATTTAATCCCGGATAAGAGAACTTGAGCCTCCATTGGAGACGCAGTTCAGCGAACAAGGAAAGATTTGATTTAAAGAAGATGATGCTGGTGGGTTGGGGTCATAGTTGCATCATCATGTCCACACTCAGCTCCCCTTTGCGGCTCTTGCTAAATTTTGTACTCCAAAGTAGATTACTACCCCTGAGGACTTTACAAGTATTGTAATATGGGCAACGTTTCCATAAAATTGGTTCCCAATCTCATGGGATGACCTGAGTGTTTCGATGTCCGTTTATAAAATTGACGGTTCTTACCCCACATAACCTCCTAGTAAACCTCCTCACCCCGCCACGACCCGAACACACCCCCACCTCCTTCAATTACACCTCACAAGTTGATTTTGACTATGGGCAAGGTTCCTGCCATTGGTTCCCAATGATTTTGATAAAGACTATCCATAACAGCTGGTACACTAAATAAAATTTGTTGTCTATGTCATTCACAATTCACCCACATGGAGCAACATTGTAGGAAGTATATACCTCTCGGGCAATTGAGGCAGGACAAAAAAACATCATTCTTGAAGTAATAGAAGACATCAGTAAGTCACGAGTGGCGATCCGCTGCAATGGACATCTGAAGCATCAGTGATCTTTTGCCTTGGAGACAATGTGACACTAGCAGCAACATCAACATCAGCATTGATGATTATTTTTCTCTTCTGGTTTT